TGTTCCTTGGCCCCTGCACCCTCCGACCTGCGCCCCGCATGCTGGATCTGCCCAGCCAGTCACTGTGTTCCTTGGCCCCTGCACCCTCCGTCCTGCGCCCCGCATGCTGGATCTGTCCAGCCGGTCACTGTGTTCCTTGGCCCCTGCACCCTCCATCCTGCGCCCCGCATGCTGGATCTGTCCAGTTCGGGGTCGCTGTGTTCCTTGGCCCCTGCACCCTTCCGTCCTGCACCCCGCAAGCTGGATCTGCCCAGCCGGTCACTGAGTTCCTTGGTCCTTGTTGCTGCAGTGATGCGTTTCTGGCCCAGCACCCGATGCTCACCCTGGACCCCAATGTCACGGACGTCTTCCTGGGACCCTACCCATTTGGCATCGACCCTGTGAGTCCTGGCCACTCACTGGTAGGGTGGCAGAGAGTGGGAGGGCCTGGGGCCTCCTGACCCCTCTCCTTCCTTAAACTCTGCTGAGCACCTGCTCCATGCCAGGCCCTGGAGACCCAGGAACACAGCCACACCCCTGGGAGGGCAGCAGATAAGCAGATGCCACGGAATCATGCTGTGGGGAGAGTTTAGGTCTAGTTAATGCTCAACACTCTCCCATCTTACAGACGAGAACACTGAGGTCAAGGCTGCCCTACCAGCAAGCAGCAAAGCTGGGTCCCTTTCCACTGCCCCTCACAGGGCTGTTACAGACCTACGTTCCAGAGGCTGTGAGGCACACACTGGGTGATGAGCACCGCTTCCAGGTGTTGTTGTTGTTGTTGTTGTTGTTAAGTGCCGTCCAGTCATAGACGACTCATCGCGACCCTATGAACGAAAGATCTGAGCACTGTTCATAGAGTTTCTGGAGGCAAGCCATTTCAGAAGTGGATGCCACTCCTTCCAAGCTTGTTTTAATTGGGGAGCTCCACCAAACACTGTCCACCATGAGTGACCATTATCGCATTTGACACATCATTGTCACAGTGTTCAGCCTCACAGCAACCATAGGTACCTCTGTACAGCAATGCACAGACCAGTGCTATACCACCTAGAAGAACGGTTGACAAAAACCAATTTAAACCAGGCCTGAGGGCCGCAGATTAAAATCACCCACCTTGGGCTTGGTAGCATAACTTTCTGTCCACTAGGCCAATGTAGCTTGTTGTTGTTGTTAAATTGCCCTCGAGTCGTAGACGACTCATCGCGACCCTAAGAATGAAAGATCTGAGCACCGTTCATAGAGTTTCCGGAGGCAAGCCATTTCAGAAGTGGATGCCACTCCTGCTTCCAAGCTTGTCCCTTCCGGGTAGGGGTCCTCGAATCCAGCAAGACAGGTCCAGGGATGATGCCTGCCCCTCCTCCCCCAGATCTGGAGCCTGGCCATCAACCACCTGAGCTTCCTCAACTCCTTCAAGATGAAGATGTCCGTCGTCCTGGGGGTCGTGCACATGGCCTTCGGGGTGGTCCTTGGGGCCTTCAACCACGTGTGAGGGCCAGGGCTGCGGGGGGCTCTGGGGGCCTGGTAGGGTGGGGCGGGGTGTGACGGGCCAAGCTGGCTGACCGTGCCGTCCTCCTGGCCCAGGCACTTCGGCCAGCACCACCGCCTGCTGCTGGAGTTCCTGCCTCAGCTGACCTTCCTGCTGGGCCTCTTTGGCTACCTCGTCTTCATGATCGCCTACAAGTGGCTGCGTGTCACGGCGGCCAGCGCCGCCTCGGCCCCCAGCATTCTCATCCACTTCATCAACATGTTCCTCTTCTCCCGAAGTCCCACCAACCGGCCCCTCTACCCTGGGCAGGTGGGCTGGAGCGGGGAACGAGCCTCACACCTCTCCCTAGGCCCCGACGTCCTGAGTCTCCTCTGAAGAAGGCAGGATGCAGGCCTGAGGCCAGTCACAAACTCCCCTCGGCATCAAGCTCTGAGTGCGGGGTGATGTGCAGAAGGTTCCAGAAGCCCCCTCTGCGTGCAGGACTCCTTAGGGAGTGGTGGCTTGGCTAAGACAGGGGTTTGGGAGTTAAGGAGACCCTGAGGAGCACAGGCTTTCTGGGTACAAAGCTGTGTCCATGGTTAGGGGACTGCTCTGACCTGTCCCCCTCACCTGCAGCAAGTGGTGCAGTCCACACTGGTGGTCTTGGCCTTGGTCATGGTGCCCATCCTGTTGTTGGGGACGCCCCTCTACCTGCGCTGGCAGCACCACCGTCGTCACGTGCCCAAACGGCCTTCCGGCCCCCAGCCGGTAGGGACCTAGGGCGCAGGGCACTGTGGGGGGATGGGGTGAGGTGGACGGTGCCTCCCTGAGCCCTGGCTTCCAGGTTCCCCCAGAGTTTGCCCTTGGCTCTTGGCAACAGGTGGGCACTGTCCTGGTGCTGGGCTTGCTGATGCCAACTCCCCTCCCCCAGGCTGAGGACCAGGCTGGCCTTCTGGACTCGCAGGACGGCCGCGTGTCCGTGAATGGCTGGGGCACTGACGAGGAGAAGGGGGGGCACCCTGAAGACCAGGAGCAGGCTGAGGTGGGTGCGCGGACGTCCTGAGGGGCGTGGGGGTGGCCGCACACCCCACTGGTCCCTCATGGCCCCCTGCCACTGCAGTTCGTCTTCTCCGAGGTTTTCATGCACCAGGCCATCCACACCATCGAGTTCTGCCTGGGCTGCATCTCCAACACGGCCTCCTACCTGCGCCTCTGGGCCCTGAGCCTGGCCCATGCCCGTGAGTGCCCACTGCCCGGGGAGGCCCCTGCAGGGTGGGGTGCCCACTGTTGGTGCCCTGGACACTGCTTGGGGAGGTCCTTGCGTGATGGAGGGTTCATTCCTGGTGCCCTGCCCACTGTGGAGTGCTAATACCCCAGGCCCTGCCTACTGCCCAGGGAGGGTGGAGTGCCCACTCTTGATTCCTGGCCCACTGCCTGGGGAGGCCCCTGGGAGTGGAGTGCTCAATCCTGGTGCCCTGCCTGCTGTCCGGGGAGGCCCTTAGAGGTGGGGTGCCCACTCCCGGTGCCCTGCCCACTGCCGGGGAGGCCCTCGGAGGTGGGGTGCTCACTCCCGGTCCCCTGCCTGCTGCCAGGGGAAGCCCTTGGAGGCGGGGTGCTCACAGTGCCCTGTCCACTGCCCTCAGAGGTGGGGTGCCCACTCCCGGTGCCCTGCCTGCTGCCCGGGGAGGCCCTTGGAGGTGGGGTGCTCACACATGCCCACACCTTGCCTACAGAGCTGTCGGAGGTGCTGTGGGCCATGGTGATGCGTCTGGGTCTGCACATGGGCAGTGAGGTGGGCGTGGCGGCAGCCATGCTTGTTCCCTTCTTTGCGGCCTTCGCCGTGCTGACCGTGGCCATCCTGCTGGTGATGGAGGGGCTCTCGGCCTTCCTGCATGCCCTGCGGCTGCACTGGTGAGCGACGGGCCGGGCGGATGGGCAGCGTGGGGTGGCAGGGCTGAGCATGGGGCCTCCCCTCAACCCCCCCATTGCACCCCAGGGTGGAGTTCCAGAACAAGTTCTATTCCGGCACCGGCTACAAGCTGAACCCCTTCACCTTTGCCATGGACGATGAGTAGTGCTGCCCAGGAAGTGACCCCATTCTCATCCGCAGCTCATCAGACAGAAAAAGAATAAAAAGGGAAGACCCGGGAACCACGTGCCTCCTGTCTGGTCTGGGGCGGGCCCTGGACGCATGTCAGCCCTCTCTGGGACTCGCCAGCCAGGTGCCCTCTGCCCACCGCCATCTGAGGTTAGAGGGAGGCTACGGGCACATGCTGGACCAGGATCGGAGCCTGCAGAGGTGGGGGTACCCTTGGGGGCACATCTGAAATGACCCCAAATTTGGGGCCTAATGGACAGAACCAGAATAGAGCCATTTCTAGCACATTCCTGAGCAACATGCATCTTCCAGGTGGGGAGTGAGCCCCAGCTAAAGTGTGCAAAAGGTCTGTCAAAGGGGGATGGTGCCAACAAGCATGAATCTAGTGCATGTCCTGGGTTCTCGCTGGGCCTACCCAGGCAGTGGTGTCACACCCTCTGGACCACGCTGCTTCAGAAAGGGCAGAGGCTGCCCCAGCCTCCTGCACCCCAGGCTGGGATGAAGGATGGGTGGCAACCTGCAGGTCCTGGCACCAGTGCCTTGCCACAGCCGGGTGCAAAGCCAAATTCACTGTGGCCATGTCTCCTCAAGCCAGTGAGCTACACACATGGTCCTTCTGGCCTGGGCCCAGGACCAGCCTAATGCCCTGGGCACAGTGAGCAGGGCTGGCCAGGCCTGCCACCGTGTTCATCTGGCCAACTGTGGGAAGGAGCCCATACTTGGGCCCTGGACTGGGTGGGTGGGTTCATGTGGTCCCAGCAAAGCCTGGCTGGACCACCTTGGGTTGCCAGCCAGCCGGCCCCGCTTAGGGGTTGGCACCAGCTGGGACTGAGCCGCGTCGAGGGCAGCAGGGGCCTGGGGGTTTCGTCCCTGAGCTGGCAGGGAGGAGGCTGGGACCTGCAGAGCAGTAGGGGTCCTTTGGGGGACACAGGCTTGTGACCCGAGGGAGGTAACTGGCTTTGCCTGACTAGCACTGGCCCTTTTTGGGGGATGGTCACCTGCTGATAGCTGCTGCTGAGAGCGGCTCTAGGTGACTGCATAGGGCTCAGGAGAGGGGGGCAGCGGCTGGCACCGCAGGGCCCGGTGAGCAGACAGAAAGTGAACAGGGGAGGGGTGTGGGGGCCCCTATGAAGACCTAGCCTGGGGTTTCAAGAGCTAAGTGGGGTCAGGTGGTGGGATGGAGCCATGAGCTGCAAGGAGCTGGGGTCTTTCTTCTTAGAGAACCACCAGTGGTTTTAAGCGTGAGTGAGGATTTTGGTTTTTAATTACACTGTTCAGATCCTGCTAGCAATTCCAAACGTCTCCAGGGTGGACAGTAGGTCACCCTCGTGCCCTGACTGCCTCAGCCCCACTTTCCACCACCTCTTCCAGAGACCCAGCATCCGAGGGAGACACAGGGCCGAGTGCTGGCCCCCCGGCGATGCTGTGCCGGAGACTGAGTTCAGATTCCAACTGCTCAGGGGCAGAGGGGGCCAGCAGGTGCTGAGGGCTGACCTCGGGGCAGGGGGCTGCGGGAGGGACAGGAAGCAGGACACGTTCACACGCCACAACGTGAGGCCGAGCTTTGATTCTTTTATTTTTTGTTTAGCACAGTCTCTGTCATAGCAGAACTGTATGCACAAAACTCAACGTTCAGAGTGAAAAAAACCCCAAGTTGATCCCAAAGAGTGTTGTCACACTCGCCCGCTCCGCCCAGGTCTGGTCTGCACGCCACCTACGGGCTGCCACTCCTCAGAGACCTCAGGCCAGGCCCAGAGTCCCCCCATTCTACAGACAGTGGTCTCTCTGCTGGGGGCAGGGGTGGGAAGCCTTGAGGGGTCCCTGGGGTGGAGCCCCTTCCACATATTCCTGAAGGCTGAGGGGAAGCGAGAAAGGCCACGAGGGCTGGACCGAGAGGCAGGTGGCCAAGGCAGCAGCCCTGACTGCCACGGCCTCCACTGCACGTGCGTGGCTGCTGTCTGAGGCCGGAGCCAGCGAAGCCGTTCTGTTAGGGGCCCGGTAAAGCTCCGTCCAGTTAAATTCACCTGTGTAGCAAAATATGTACACAAGCACTGAGGTCGCCACCCGTCCACCGGATGCACAGCTCCCAGCAGCTCGGTGCAGCCGTCTTCCGTGAGCATCGGCCAGCGGAACCGGGGACCGGCGGGGTTAAGGCCTCAGAGGGGCTGGATGGCACATGGTCCCTCGGAGCGCGTAGTGTCTGTCTACAGCCTGGTTACAGTGCTCACCAGCGTGTTAGTTCAGATTCAGGAAAATCAACGTCCAAGAAAACCAAAGAGCACGTCCCGGGCGGCACCGCCGTCCTGCCTCTGCCGCTCCGACGGGAAGCCGAGGACCAGACGCCTTGCCGAGGTGCCGAGGGTGATGGGATGCTGCGCTATTACTACATGCTCCCGCTCTCGCCGCCGAGGCCTAGCGAAATCGTCAACAGGTATGAAAGGAAGGTTACTGGTTTTAATAGTCTTTAGTATCATACACATCTGGACTCCGGAGCGAGACGTGGAAGCCTTCTTGCCGCGGGAACAGGAAGTGGTCGGAGCGCGGAGGGGCCCGCTCAGCTGCCTCCGCCCAGCGGTCCGGTGGTGACGGTGCCAGGGCCGCCACGCCGTCACACCCCGAGCTTCCTCTTCTGGTCAAAGTAGGCATCGAACCTTGCCTGGGCATAGTCCTAGGAGAGAGCAGATACAGAGGTTCACCCCAGGCTCCCGCTGTCCCCCACAGCCCGGCCCTGCCCTCCCGCCCCCCAGCTGAGTGCAGACACAGGCTGGTTTGCCTCGGCTCACTGCACCGCACAGGGCACAGGTCGTGTGGTGTGAGGGGCTGATTTTCCTAAAAGGCTGGAAACCCTGCACAGAGAAGGGTGTCACTGCGCCCTCCCAGCAGCCCATGCCCACTTGGTGCCCCTCACCCTGTGGTCATTTTCTCAGTATGTTGGGCTTTCTCAAGGCTGCACCTGGCAACCAGCGTGTGTAACCTGCTCCACTGGGCATTGGTCTGAGAGGTGTGCACGGCACCGCCAAGGTCCGCTGCACGAGGGGCTGTCCTGCTTGGGGACACGGCCCCACTCGGAGGGGGGACACGGCCCTGCTCAGAGGGGGCACACGGCCTCGGTGCTGCTGCCCTGTGCCCCACACACCTCTACCTGAAACGGGCCGAGCTGGTCACCGTGGTCCCCTGGGACAGGCCGTCTTGTGCCGACTGTGGCATTTGTAGCTGCCTATCATCTGTTTATCCTGAATGTTATGTGCTGTTGAGTCAGAACCGACCATAGTAGTTTTCGGAGGCTGTAAATCTCACGAGAGCTGTTTACCCATCCTTCTCCCACGGAGCTGCTGGTGGATCTGAACTGCTGACCTTTCAGTTAACAGTGAGATCACTATGCCCTTGACACAGGAGAGGTCCCCTTAAAGCAACAGGCGCTAGGATGGCAGCAGGAAGAGAGCGAGCAGTGCCTCTCCCTTCCCGGGACTGCCTGCTGCCCAAGAACCAGAAGTCGCTTGCATTTTACAACAGCTTTTCCATTTCTGCAAAAATGGAGGGGTGTGGCTGGCGCTGGGGAGAACCCACAGAACGGTTTGGGAAGGATGCACATAGTCCCCCCCCTTTCACAGTCTTCTACTTGTAAACCATGGGTGTGGGACATTCAGTGTGCAGGGACCTGCGGCAGGCCTCTGTGGCACAGGCTCGCCTTTCTTCCAAAGAAATGTCTCGAATACATCAAACCCTAATGGGATGACTGCTCCTCATTTCTGCTGTTTAGCCAGTGTTCTTGATCTTGTTCTCAGATTCCATACATCTGAGATTGTTCAACAGATTTGGAATAAACTTCCAAGATAAAGGGAAATTTCTGGCTCATATTTCTCTGAATCTTGGCATGGGTTCATTTTATTAAACAAAAGATAAGCTCCAAGAATTCCCTAAGTTCAGCTACTGAGATTCCTTTGAAAATCTTAACCAGTGTTTCCACAGAGCGGGCCATCCTAACACATGGACAACTGGACCGGCTATCAGAATGGACGTTTTAAAGCCGAGCCTCCCAATCCTTGAGCATGACATAAAAAACAAACCCACGGCCAGTTCCAGTCCCTCGTGACCCTCAGGACAGAGCAGAACCCCCTGTGGGGTCCCCAAGGCTGAAATCACGACAGAAGCAGAGTCACGTCTTCTAACCAGGTTCCCTCTAGCATGGTCATCTCTCCACATGGTTTGTTGTTTTCTGCATATACATCTTGTACCTCAAGGGGGGGAAGTAATATAAATATTTTATGCTTATTAAAGCCAGTTTCAACTTTCAAATTGTTTCCAGGATAGAGGAATGCATTCCTTTTGTTGTTGTTTTTTTTTTTTTTGGAAAAACTTGTATTTAGAATTAGCCAGCTGGACTCCGTTTAGATGATGCCAAAAGCCTTCTCTCCATTAGGCCTAATCAAAGTGCTGACCTTGGCCACATCAATGTCATAGAGCTTCTTTACAGCTTGTTTGATTTGGTGCTTGTTGGCCTTGACATCCACAGTGAACACAAATGTGTTGCTATCTTCTGTCTTCTTCATGGCTGCCTCAGTGGTCAGGATAAGCTTGATGATGGCATAGTGGTCAAGCTGGTTTCTCCTGGGAGGGCGCTCTTCTGGGGGTATGTGGGCTGCCTTCGAGTCTCAGCGTCTTAGGCCGCCGGAAGGTGCGTGACGTGCGGATCTTCCTTTTTTTTTGGCGGTGGATGCCCTTCAGGACGCCTTCTTGGCCTTTAATCCCTTTGTTTTGGCTTCAGGTTTGGGAGGGGCAGGGGCTTCCTTTTTTGCTTTTGGCGCCATCTTCGTAGAAAGGCAGGAATGCATTCTTTTTTGTATGTTGACCTTATAACATTATCCTGTGACCTTGAGAAGTTCCCAGTTTCATGTATTCTTTCTTATCATATACACAGTCTTTCTGTTGTTACGGTCCTTTCCGATGTTGTTGCCAGGTGCCATCAAGTTGAGCATGACTCATAGCGACCCTCTGAACAAAAGATCTGAGCCCTGCTCTATCCTCACACTTCCTGACACACAAGAGCCCATTGCATCAATCACCATGTCAGTCCACCTGGTTGAGGGTCTTCTCCTTCGCTGACCCTCCACCCTCCCCAGCATCATGTCCCTCTCCAAGGAACAGCCCCTCCTAGCAACACGCCCAAAGTGTGTGAGGTGAAGCCTCATCATTCTTGCCTCCAAAGAGCACTCTGGCTGCACCCTCTCCAAGACCTATCTGCTTGGTCTCTTGGCCATGGGATGTTCAGTGCTCTTCTCCAACACCACAGCTCAAAGGCATCAATTCTTCTGTCATCCTTATTCACTGTCAAGCTCTCAGATGCACAGCAAGTGATCGGAAAGACTACGGCTGGAATCAAGACACACCTTAGTCCTCAAACTGATATCATTGCTCCTCAATAATCTGAAGAGGACCTAACTGTAGATTTTCCTCCTTTCTGGTACATCTGCCTTTTCTTCCTTTCAACAGCCTTCCTGCTCCAGCTCCGAGCCCCAGTGCAATGAGGGAGAGACGCAAGGAAGGCCAACACCTATGCTTTGTCCCCTGTCTGGAGACAACTATGCTTTGTCCCCCGTCTGGGGCTGGGGCTGGGTGAGCAACATGGTCTCTCTACAATCATTCTATGAGCTCGTATGTTTTCATTCACACCCTTTATATAACTGAAATGATCCCATCTACTCTTAGTTTGAAGTGAGGATTTCCCTCCTCCCTAGTCAGGACTGGGTGCTGGACTTTGTCAGATGCTTTCCATGAATTCAACGATGATTTTTCCCTTTTATGCTGTTAATATGACTTCTCACACTGCTTTTTTCAATGTTAAACTACCTTATATTCCTGGGACAACCACTTCTTGGCCGTAGCATATTATCCTTTTACGTAGACGCTGGTGAGTTTACTCCGGTTTTGATAAGGATTTCTGGAGACGGGTCATGAAGAACAGACCGGCTGTTTACTTGACCGGTCTCTGGTTCTGGCGTCAGCTGAGCAGGAAGCTGCACGCTGTCCGCTTTCCTCAGCGCGCACAGGACTGGGGTCCTCCTTTCCCCGTGTGTCTGAGGTGCTCATCAGTGAAGCCGGGGGGACCAGCAGTTTACTGTGCAGGGGGTTTCAGTATTAATTTCTTTCACATATAGCCATTTCTGATGTAGACCTTTTAGCTAATAAAGAGGATAAAATGAACTAGTCACGTCCCACCTCTGGGCTCAGAGAAGAAAGTCGTGGTGTAGAGTGATCGAAGTGTTCAACTGCTAACTGAAAGGCCAGCTGTTCAAACCTACCTGTTAAGAGGAAGATATGGTGCACCTAGGACTCAGTCAGGTAAGAGGACGTGGCACCGGCATGTACAATGATTCAGTCTTGGACCTGTTACTCCATGTGGCAGCTCTACTCAGGGTTGCTACGAGTCAGTCGGCTCAATGGGAATAGACACGGGTTTGGTTTTGGGGTTCTGGTCCCGAGGAGGAAAGGTGCTCACGAGTCTCAGATTCTGTGTCTGGGCCCCTGGCCCCCGAGACACCCACGGTTACAGAGCAGCAGAGAAGTTTATCTAAAGGTCAAAACCATTCTTTCTACATAGACATTTCTCAAGGTTAGGCTAAAATTAGAGTCAAGGTCACAAACATCAAGGAGGTACAATTCCGTTTAAGAACAGGTTCCAGGGGAGCTCTGGTGGCCTAGTGGCAAGAAGCTGCACTGCAATCCCCAGAGGCACACGGTTCGAATCCACCAGATGCTCTGCCGGGGAAGGAGGGACAATCTCCTCCTGTACCAGTCAGGTCCGATTTGACGGTACACGCACACAAAAATAATAAATAAAAATTTAAAAAAAAAAAAAAAAAAAGAACAGCTTCCATCTCCGACTGGGCACCACTGGTATCATTTGCGGGAGCGTCCAGGGCTGCCTACACGCCTTCGTTCTGGACGCGCTACACCTGTGCAGTCCTCGGGGTCTCGCTCTCCCCTCCAGGACCCAGGACCACAGCACTCACCTGAAGGCAGCACACCCCGCGGCCTTCTTCCCCTCTTCCCAGGGCTGGGCCTCCCTGTCCCACTCTGGGCACCAGAGCCAGTGGCCAGTGTTCACAAACGCAGGTAACCGAGCAAGCATTCACACTGACTGCAGCATTTCCCCCCAGAATTAGAAGAGAGCATGCCCAGAACATACCATGTAGCCAAATTCAATCGATGAAATCTTGGCCTGCACGATGGACCACAGTCCCCAGAAGAAATGGGAGGCAAGGGCGAACCTGGAAATGAAGCAAGAGCCCCGCATGAGAGCTGTGGCCTTGGTGAGGGGCTGATCCGGGAACCTAGGCACGTCGACTCATTCACACACAGAAAAAGCCTCCACACGGGAGGAATAACAGGAGGGAGAGCCCCCCGCTCATCCTCCGCCTGCAGGCAACAACAGCCAGCCTCACAGAGCCACGGCCCAGCTGCCTTCCTGCGCACAGACAGCCGCGCACCTCCTACCGCCATCCCAAGCCCATGGCCTCGCCCACAGAAGTAAAGCAGAAACAGGAGCCATGTGGTCTAGGAGTCCCTCTGTCCACTCAGGGCAGTGCCCTGGGGGCTCCTTCTGTTAAGCTTCCCCTTGGGTTTTCCTGCTGTCCCAGGAACTCGAGGTCCCTGGCCACTCACGTCTAGCGCCCCTTCTGTCTGGGCCGTGTCCAGTTCCATTTTTGTATTTCCACACATCTGAGAAACAGAAAGAGGGGCCCATGCTGCAGGGGGTCTGGGGTCAGAGGAAGGTGCTTGGAGACAGGAGTATGGGCACTCAAGACCACAAGGCGCCAGAACAGCCCAGCGGGGCAACAGAACCACCAAGGTGGACAAAAAGAAGCAGCCAATTGGCTGGACAGTCTTGTCAATCAGGACCCAAGACAGCAGCAAGCACCGAGAGGAGCCGACTGAGGAGATGCGGGGGTGCAGTGAGCGTCCTGTCTCGTAACCTCTGCAGGACCTGGAGCGGCTCAGAGCCGTGCTGAGAAATCAGAGAGCTGTGCTAGACGCCTGGTCAGAAAGGCAGCCCGTGGGTCGTCTTATCTCTTTCGAGGAGAACTCAGGCAAGAAACACATCAGATGGTGGTGACAGCTCCATGGTCCCAGCTGTGAGACAGAGCCTCTGCTCGTGCAGCTGAGAGCTGGGAACCGGCAAGCTACAGACACACTGCCTGCACGCGCGTGCGCACACACCCCCCCTCCTTCCCACCCACACCCACCCGGAACAATTACCTGTTGACTTCAAGCAGCATTTCTTCTTCTATAACGGACTTTTCTTCATTACTGAGGTTTTCAAATTCATTTTGGAAGGCAGCCAAGTAATGGGAAAAAAAATGGAGCTTTAAAAAGAAACAAAGAAGTTGTGTTAGGCTCCGGTCAACACAGGCCACCAGCAGGTGCCATGAAGCGCGGACAGCCTGCTGGCCTCTCCGGATCATACAGAGGAAACGAGGGGAGACTGGAGACCAGTGACGGTCATGCTGCTGTGACCCGCAAGGGATCCAGCGCTCACTCGGGCCAGCGCCCAGCACCCACTCAGACCAGCCAAGGGCAGAAAGTCTGCTGGACAGGCGCGACCACCGGGGTTGTGGCTGCCGACTCGTCTCCAACCTCATCTGCAGCTGTGCGCGTGGCTGTGAGCTGAGGACGCACCACACTGGCCTTCCCGGACCGGCTGAGGGTCCACGCGCAGCTGCCACAGCTCCGGTCCCAGGTTTCTCAGTGTGGGAGCTGACCACACAAAGCTAAGGGCTCCTTCCAACTCAGGCCTCCAGGGTCACAGATTTATGACATGTGCACAAGCTGGCGACTTAATGCGGGCTAGTGGTCTACTGTTCAGAATGGCTTTCCTAGGCCACTGCTCTTGACTCCGCGACATGTGGGGTGGGAACACACCAACAGCATGTGCCAGTCCATTCAGCAGGGGACTGGCCAGTTTTGCCATTCCATCAAGTTAAACTGGGCAGGTTCAGCAGCAAGAATCTGGGAATCTCACTACCAGCCAAGCAGCAGAAACAGAACGTGGCACCCATCCTCTGGGGTCAGCGATTCTCACGCCATCTCAGCAGCCGTGGCCACAGTTGAGAACCAGAGACCCAACGTGAGACAGAGGTGAGCTGGGACTGCAGCCCCCTGGAGCTCGAGCTGGGGACCTTCACACAAGCTTGCGAGAGGCCTGTGGCCGGGGCAGGACGCAGAGGATGGCGGGACACCATCACTGGCAGGACTAAGAGCTTTGCACACTAATTTCAAGGGTAGGCAAGCACACTGCAGAAGCTGTCCTCACTGAGAAACTGTATCCTGTTGCCAACTTGAATTGTAACCTTTAACTTCCCTGAGAAAGCTCCTAATTTTGAGTATGGCTTTATGAAGTCTGTGCGGTGACTGCAATGGATTTTAGACCTGGTAAAGCGGTAGGCTCACTGCTGGAATTAGGAGAAAGAGGTGGAGGGGCAGGTCGACTTCACGGGAATTGGTTTTGTGTTGTGCGTGCTGTTGACGGAACAGGTCCCCCTTAGAAGAGGTCAGATTTGGCCGTCCTTACGCTGCCCTCATTCTTTTACACTTAATTGTGGTTTGGAGAAGAGTCAGTGTGTCTCTCTGACCCACCAGGTTCTACCTCTATCCTGTGCGCGGTTTAGTACTGATGAGACTCTGGTCTTGAATACTGCAAATGGCTTCAAAGGATAAAACACAGACACAGCAAACCAGCTTGCTCTTCTCTTAGGCAACTAAGAAAATATCTGTCAGTTATCTTTCCTGGACAGCTCTCATCAGTCAGTTACCTGGGTGGCAGGCCAACTTCCCCTCACACCTACCCCACCCTTTCCTCCTCCATCACTCGGCAAAAGCGTTTTCAAAGAGCTCCCCACTTCCACTCCAGAAAGACTCGCCCTCGCAGGGGGAGCCCAGGAGGGTCTCCATTCTGACACAAACCTAGCACAGAAGATGCTGATAGCGTCTGTGGGTCAGGAGAGCCAGCAGGTCACAGCCAGCAGGGACCTGTCTGGGGTTCCAATGCAGGTGGACTAGTTTGAGACTGAGGTTTGACAAGAGGCTACAACCAAGGACTGAAAGGGCAGTGACTGTGACGACAGCCCCCGGTCGGGCTTCCTTCTGTGGCGTGTGAGGCCCGAGCGGGCTTGATGGCACCTGGTAGGACCAACCATGACTCACTTCCAGTGGTCCAGGGAGAACCACGCAGACAGGACTGTGCTCACGATTCTCCATGACTGACTTCTGGGAAGATGATCCCCAGGCCTGGGTAGAAGTGAGCTTCCAAGCACGTCCCACAGTCAGGGCACCCACCGAGGGGCCGGCAGGGAATGGCTAACAGCAGGCCCAGTGTCCGGTCATAACCCACAGTGCTCAGCACACGCCCAACTGAACAGAGTAAGGGCAGTGGCCACCAGCGAGGAGGCCAGAAAGGTGACCGGAGGCTGGGTTTTCCAGCAAGAACAAGAGGGAGGGTGTGGTTGCGTCAGAGGGAGGAGCAGAGCGGACAGGAGGTGCGAAGGCCTGGACTATGTGAAGCGTGTAATCAGTGGAGCCGAACGGAACATACTGACACTGGGGAATATGTATGCGTTTTGCTGTGTGTGTTTTCAATAACAACAAAAAGAGCCTCTCTGGCGAGCTCTGGTGGCCTAGTGGCAAGAAGCTGCACTGCAATCCCAGAGGTACCCGCTTCAAATCCACCAGATGCTCTGCTGAATGAGGAGGAACAATCTCCTTCTGTACCAGTCAGATCCGATTTGACAGTATACACATAAAAAGAAGAAAAACAAAACAAAACCAAAAATACAACCAGCCTCTCTGAAAATGAAGACGTCATTCTAACAGCATGAAACAGATAATTCCCATCAAATCGGGAATAATGGGCCCCTACCTGCTGTTTCTTGGTGGGGTACTTGAGGATGCTGGCTCTGAAGAAAGGGTATTTTTCATAGGTATAGTCATACATCCATTCACAGAAATGGTTCCCAATGTCGAATCCCCTGGAATACAAGGAGAGGGGGTGAGGCGCCCATATCTGCGGGGCTCCCCAGGTTTAGGAAGCGGGCTGCTTTAAAGGCAGTTCTCGTGAACACTGCCAGGCTCCCCATGCTGGCTCCTCCCCTGCAGGCAGAGCGCCTTTGGATTTAACTCCTTGCCTCCCACATCCAGGGAGCCAAGGACGAGGGTCAGCCCTGCTTCATCCCATGGTCACCAAAGGCCTCCAGGACAAAAGGCCTGATCTTCCAGGTAGAGGGCCACAAGCTGGAAAAGGAACATCTACCTCCACTCTCCCAGAAGTGCTTCCTGACTGTGTCAGGACGGTGATGGGCTGGAGCGGGGGGGTGTTTCTGCACGTCTCACCTGTAATTGTAGCTGCTGTATTCAAAGTCGATGAGCATCAGCTTCTGCTTCCCTGAGCCCTCTTGGTCGTCCAGCAGTAAGATGTTACCTGTAGGGAGGGTGGAATCACATGACGCGCAGGTGCTCGGCTACTCAGGACAGAGCTGAGGGAGCGTGGCCCTAACCCTCTCAGGGCTCCTAGCAACAATGACCAAGGTGAGCTCTTGGTCACCTCAGCCCTGAGCGCCCCTGGGAGAGCTGAGCCTGGGCACTGCACAGAGGATGTGTGTGTGGGTGCACCGGCTCTCGGGCCACCTGTCTGTGAGGGGTCATGGCAGGCACTCAGCCGCCATACACTGGGCCGCTGCTCTGTCCTCATCTGGATTGCTCCCCTACAAGCTAACCTCTGAGCCTGCGCCTGCAATGACACTTCACGGGGTTCAGAGTCCCAGGCCACAAGGCAGCTGGGCACCAGGCTGGTCCCCTCACTCTACATCATTTATGTCCCCAATCTGAACAAGCCTCAGACACCACCACAGCAAGTGGAGAAGTGGGGAGAAGAGGGGGACTGGGGAGTACGGTAGAGAACCTCTACCACAGTCTGCCACAGGCCCACTCCAGACTACCGCGACGAAGCTCGGCACGTGGCCTGCTGGGGTCCCCAGGCCATGTCCATCATGTCCACACCGCACTGCCATCTATTAACTACACAGCAGCATTACCGCAAAGCCTGCAAGATCCTGAAGGGACAGTATGTGAGGACACACTAAACGAGCCGCCGGAGGATGGCCTCAGCAGGCCTGCTCCGCACAGGGTCGCCGCCACCTTGGTCTGCAGGGATGCAGCCTCTGGGCAGCACCAGGAGCTCAGAGGAGGGGCCGGCTGTCCAAGCACCACACCAACCCCCAGCTCTATGCGTGTTTACACTCTGCCATCTCTTGGGCCAAACCTGTCAGTGACTGACCCCAGGGCTAACCAGCCCGTGTCCAGAACACCACTCAGAGTGACAGCTGTAACTGCTACTACATGGGTGGCTGGGGCCGCTGCCAGACAGCACCCAAGAAACAGTGATTCCTCTCAATATTAAAACCGCAGGTGAGTCGAGCCCAGCAGGGCCTGCAGTGAGGCCTCGGCTGTGGCCGGGAACGGCCAGGACAAGGAACGGCAGCGGTCACCAGAGGCAGGAGGGGTCCACAGCACAGCCAGAGTGGGCCGTCTGATGGGCACCCTTGACGTGGAGAAGTCTGGAGGCTACTGATGTTCTGGTGAGGAAGGGATCCGATCCACTGGAAGTCTCCAGAGCAGTGTCCCCACCAGCATGGGCACGGTGGGAGCCGAGGCCCAAAGACGCCTTTTTCAGCCCCGAGTGCTGCGTGGTCCAAGGGGAAAGGCCAGGACCACAGCACAGGTGAGGCTAGTCAATGGTTTCCCAGACCAAAAAGGCCACAGAGCTTTACCACAAAAACCAGACACTGACCAAATTATGACGCGGAAGGTGCCCCATGCTCACTCCCGCAGTAAATGTTCTTTCTGTGAGCCTCGTCTTCACAAAAGGGGAGGCTCCCTAGGTGTTTTTCCTGAGGTCTGGATTTCCCTGCTGTGTGCCCTCCAATCACCGCGCGCCCTCCTGGTCACCGCGTGCCCTCCCGGTCACCAAGCCCTCCCGGTCACCAAGCCCTCCCGACCACCACGCACCCTCCCGACCACCATGCACCCTCTGGTCTGATGTCTGAGGGGGCGGAGCCGCTAACAGGGTGCCCATTGGGGAGCAGCTCTCACCTTCCTGACAGTCATTATGGCAGAAAACAACTGGGGACGCGGTGGATTCCAGCAGCGACCTGGAAAAGGAAGGTTTTCCGGTTACACGCGGCATGTCTAGCTGGGATGCCAAGCCCACCGCCAGCCTGTGACTGAGGTTCTGCCGTGACTGGAAGCAGACACCTCCAGCAGACAATGCGACCCTGGCAGGCCTGCGCAGGCCCCTCTGGCATGCCCTCTGCACCCACGGGCCCACGTGAACCTCCACGCTGGTCTCCACTCCGGCTCCGGCCTTCCTTCACAGCGCTCACCCCAACCTGACCTTGTTTCCTTGTCTGTCTCCCCTCCTCGAGGAGGGTACAGGCCACATGTCCTCAGCCCCACCCCAAACGCCTGCCATCAGACACGCTCCAGTACTTCAGTCCTGAAGGGCAAGGACCTCTCAGAGGAGACCCTGGCATAACCGACCTCCTCCCCTGCCTCCCCACTAGGAGGCCAGGACCGAGACTCGCAGGCCCCGGAGCAGAGGCCAGACGCTGTCCCTCACCTGCTTAGCCCGGCCCGCCGGACACGTGCTTTCTCACAGCCCTTCTCACCAAATCCCTCCCTGGCCTGTGATCACTGACTTCTCTCTGAAACCCCACGGACCGGCTCGAGGAGCGACAGCATTTGTGTGAAACCCATTCAGCTGCACAGCCACACAGAAGCAGCTGCAGCCCCTCCATCCCAGATCGGAAGCACAACAACTACCTGGACTGTGAGCTTTCACCCAAAGTACCAAGTGCAGAACAGAAAAACAGAAACTGTGACGACAGGCGAACCCAGTGAAGAAGCGACACGCCCATGGTCAAGGGAGAAGGCGGCGAGCTGCGTGGCCGAGGACGCTCGCCAGCGCGCGGCGCCCACTCACCTCAGGCTCTCCATCTCCGACGGCAGGTTGTATCTGAGCAGCCTGTGGAGCTTCGTTCTAGAGTCGCCGGTAAATTTCATTTTCAGCACTTGATCTAAGTATCTTTACATCAGGAAGAGAAGGGGACACAGGGTCAGCACAGTCCACTGGGCCAGCTGCTGGGGCTTTAGTTACAGTTTCCTCACCAGGACCTCACCAGCCGTGGGACCAGCTCTGCCCGGGAGGCGGAGGGTGGTGAGGGGTCACCACCTTCTAGGAGGCCTGTCCCCTGCCCATCCCATGCCCCGTGCCTGCATCTCTACACACAAGGCCTTCTTGACCCTGGCTTTCTTTTCACGTGCACAAGACGGAGGAAGCCCACTGTAGTTGGGCTGCAGGGAGGCCCAAGCAAGCAGACCACTTACTTTTCCATTGTGCCAAAGAGCCACTTGGGTTCCTTATTGAATGGCATTTTCATACCATGAAAAATGGCCATCTTCTTAGCAATATCTGCAGAAATATCTGGCACACTTAATTCTTCCGTTTCTAATCGTCGGCTCTGAAATAGAAAGGGCATTAGAGAAGGACATTTACCTAGGTAACCTGCCTGTGTGGGACAGTCTGGACAAGGACAGGCTAGTTCTAAACCCTGCTCCACTCACAGCATCCCCTCGGGGGAAGGGACTGTGCCCCTGGGATAGTCACAGCTCCGTGGGACCACGAACACACTGCCCAGGGCAGTACCCACTGGACAAGTCAGCGTTCAAGGACTAGGGTCACCCACCAGCATGTTTAGTGGGGACCCAGTGAGTAGACAGCATTGTGGGACTGGGAAATCAGGAGGGACAGGGCCATATTTTACTTCCTGGGGTCAGGGTAGTGGACAGGGGTAGTGTGGGGGTGAGGAAGAGAAGTCAGGTAGGTGAAAAGGGAGCAGTAGGGAGCCCAGAGGCTTGTCGGGGGGTGGCAGGGTGGGGTCCAGAGCAAGTGAGAGGGACAGGGAAAGAGCCTGGGTCAGGGGAGCAGCTGGACACTGCCGTGTGCGGTCTCACAGCCGTCCTTAATACCAGAAGGCTATGGGTCTGCAGAAAGGACAAGTGTTCTCAAGTAAACCAGAACACTTGTTTCTCTTTATTTTGGATGAGGTTTAAGAAGAGAAGTCACAGAAAAATAAAAAAAAAATTTTAAAAAATTAAAAATATTTTAAAAAATTAAAAAAAAAAAATAGAGAAGAAGAAGTCACACTGAACAAGTCCATGAGCCCAGCAACCCCTCTCTTCTGTCTGTGGGATGTGCAAATAGACCAGGCAGGTGCCCAGCTTACCGGAATGAACTGCTCCAGGCGGCCTTGGGGGAAGATCCCGTAGAGTTTGGGGCCCAGCGCCCTCTCAGCAAGAATGGCAAACATCACACTTTCCAGAACCATGGCCTCAGCCCCCTGCAATGAAAAGGGCATGTTAGTGTCCCCAGGGGTCACACAGTCCGATGTGCATGTTCACCAACACGCCTGTGCCAAGTGCCAAGTCCCAGAGCTGTAAGGGACAGACTCGTGCTTGGGGCAACACACTGAGACTGGAACGTACACTTCACGGAGGCTACTGGCCCAGAAACAGAAGACTACAGGTCTATGAAGTCTGCGCAGAAACCACGCCCCAGGCCATCCTGGGAGGGCTGGCGTGCCTGAGGTCAGTGAGCTGAGAGCCTGCGAAGGGCTTAAAGCCAAGTGGGTCTGGGGTCCGCAGTCCACTAAGCTGGAGCATGACAGATTCAGACCTGAGATACGCAGGGGTAGCTGTCTGCCTCTGCCCCCCACCTTTCAGTCTCTGCAGCCTGCTATCTTTCTGTCCAAATCCCCACAATGTCCAAATGTTCCGTCTCCAGCCCCACAAAGAACAAGGGCAGTGGAGGTGACAGCCCATCCTGTCCCTGCCATGAGGCCGCAGCAGGTGCTGGGGACCTGAAGGTCTTCTTTCAGGGAGACTATAGCAGCCGACACACGTTTCGGTTCCAGCCCAAGTTCCCTGCGGAGCTGGACAACCAGATGGACAGACAACAGTCTGAACTCTAAATCGCCTTCATGCAGAAGCAGAGCAGCCTGGGGGCCAATCACTTCTTGAAGGCTGTTGGGCTCGTTGAACGGCATACACCATCTTTCTATGCACAGAAACTCACTGTGAGAAGCTTCTGAAGAAAGTCTCCAAAATCATTCAAGAGCAGAATGAGAAGACATGCTCACCAAGGCCTCCTCCTGACAGATCCCACGGAACGAGGATTTGGGGTAACTGAAAACCATTTATGAAGACAGAGGCACACGCAGTGGAAGAGAAACCTTAGCATTAAAGATCCCACTTTGTGCAGGGCCCCGCCTCTGCCTGCTGGCTGACCGCAGAGTTTCCCTGACCCCCTCTCCAGAGTATCTGGAGGGAGATATGCTTCTCGTATCTGTTAACTGGCTAGAATCCAGCTCACGGGGTGACCTCTAGCCATGCAGCATCCACTTTCCCTAGTCAGAGTTGTTGTAGTTGTTATGTGCCAGTGTGTTGCCTGCGACTCATAGCAACCCTATGTACAACAGTCCTAAACCCTGCTCTACTCTGTGCCAGTCGCACTGTCTTGTCTCTAACCTACTCCAATTACCCCAATCACTCAATCAATCTGTCTCATTGAGGGCCTTCCTCTCTTGCGCTGTCCCTCCGGCCTCCAAAGCACGATGTCCCTCTCCAAGGACTGGTCCCTCTTTGCACCAAGTCCAAAGTATGTCAGACCACGTTTTAGAATCCTTGCCTCCAAGGAGCAGCCTGGCTTCACCCTCCTCTCCAGAACGAATCTGTTTATTCGAGTAGAGTGAAGTGATGTCCAAATACAACTCCCCCCTCACTATTCCTAGTTGCTTTTTTTGTTGCACACATTCTAACGTCAGGGCTTCTTAAGCCCTCGGTTTATCTGTGAGGTTCGAGAGAACTGTACTTGAAAGAAACTTAAGGAATATATTAGGAGAGGAGAAACAGTTAAAAGTTTTACTTTCAGAAATATTGTGGGTGCTAATCCTGAGTTTAATCTCTCAGATTTAATTTCATTAATAGGTTTTTTAGTTTTTCAATAATTTTCCATAAATTCCATAGGCTTGTGTAGTCTTTTAATTGTATAAAATCACTCTTATTTTATTGCCTATAATAGGGGTGTCTGCTTTTTAAACCTGTTGCAATAACTCTGCTGAAATAACACATTAGCCAAACTTTTCTTAAATAAAAATAGAAAAGAACAAGGACAATCATTTTTCCTTCAAACTCCCTCCTTCAGGTGCCACTCAGGCATTCCTCGGTCCCCTCACCCTTGGACAGCAGTCACACCTTGAGACTGGCAGATGCAGGAGTTACACTAAGCTCAAGGGGCACTCAAATCCCTAGAGAGCTTCCTGGGATGAAGAGGTTAAAGCACTATGCCACCAACTGAAAAAATTGGTTCGAATACAGCAGCCATTCTGAGAGACAAAGACGAGGTCATCTATTCCAGAGCCCCACAGCAGTTGTCCCACAAGGCAGCTCTGAGCTGGAACTCTGACAGTGCTGGGGGGCTGCTCTATATCCAGTGGTTCCAGAAGGTTTCCAGATGATCTCCACCCTCCCGTGTCAAGAAGTACATGGTGGGAGGATGATCATAGGAGACCGACCACTCAGGAGCACGTGCTGGCTGAGAAGACCCCACAGGGGACGGCTGGGGAGCACAGCACTTGCTGAGAAGACCCCACAGAGGACAGCAGGAGCACAGTGCTCCTGAGAAGACGCAGCCCAACCCAGCAACACTCTCTGGACGCAGGCACTGTGTGATACCAGAGTCTGGTGAGAGGGAAGCTGGAAGCAGATACTCCCTTGGGCTCACAGACTTCGTGGAAGTGAGAAGCCCTTCACTCAGTCCATTGTATAGTGAGGACTGTGGTTTTGGGGTAATCCCTCACAATTATAGTGTATCCATTAGCTTGTGAGACCCCACAATCATGGTTACAGTGCCTCCTGTGAGGTCAAGCTGGGAATGACTCACGTGCAACACTGGCTGTGTTCAGACAGGACATCAATCTGAGCTGAGTGCATTCGGGAGCAGGATTCCCGATCACACAGCTGCTTCTAGAACCCTCCCTAAGAACATGGCACCCCCAGTGTGGCTCTGAGAAAACTCCCAGCAATAACACATTTAATGAGAAAGGAGTTTTACCTAACAATCCAACAACACAGATACACCGCCCCCAAAACAAACCTTACACACAGGAGCACCTTCCATGCAGACAGCGCACTGCTTCCTGCCACTTTCTACTTACTTCTCTATAAACAGCAAATAAAGAGAGGTCTGTCTTGAGCAGGGCAGTGTCTTCAAGGGTTTATCTATAGGCCATCAAGGTAACAACAGCAACCTAGATGAGACTGATGTGATAGCAACAGGAACCTCAGGGGAAAGTGAGCCTGTGGTAACATGGGGGGAGCACCTCAGAGAAGGGAAGTAGGAACTGCTGCAGGACGTCAGAGCCTGACCACCGGCCCCCAACTGACCATGTCGAAATGCTATGTGCTGTCATCTCAACACCTAAAGAAAAGTTAGAAGACAAAAGAAGCAAAAAGGTTTTGCTAGTTCACGTCTCTCTGGAGGCTAGATTTCAGTGTGGCCAGCAGAGGTGAGGAGAAGAGACAGGAAGGAGGAGGTAGGCATACGGTGTCCTCATGGGAGGCAAACACTGACTTCCTGTGTGGATGCTGCTAGGAGGCCAAAGAGGCAGCGTGTCCACTGCACCCAGTACCGTAAAAGGTGCTGTGAGACAAACAACAGCTGTAGAGGAGCAGTGGTGACAGGTGGCGAGGACAGGTGTTTGGGAAGCAGTGGGGACAGGTGGCGAGGACAGGTGTTAGAAGAGCAGTGAGGACACGTGTTTTAGGACAGATGTTTAATGACTGGTGGGGGCAGGTGGTGAGGACAAGTGTGAAGCAGTGAGGACACATGTTTGAGGACAGGTGTTAGAGGAGCAGTGAGGACGGTGTTGAATGCTGGGGACACGCGGTGGCGACAGGTGTTAAAGGAACAGTAGGAACATGCTGTGAAGACAGTTGTTAGAGGAGTGGTGAGGATACATGGTGAGGATAGGTGTTAGAGGAGTGGTAGGGACAGGTGGTGAGGACAAGTGTTGAGTGCTGGGGATATGCGGTGGGGATAGGTGGTGAGGACAGGTGGTGTTAGAGGAGTGGTAGGGACAGGTGTTGGAGGAGTGGTGGGGGGAAGAGATGTCTGACTGTGATCAATTAGTTGTGGCCTCCACTGCACTCGGATGGGAAGAAATGTCTGATGGTGTCAGGTTGGGAAGAGGACAGGGAGGGGAAACAGAAGGGAAAGTTCTCAGAGAGTTTTTATCTGTAAAGTGTTACTCTTTTTTTTTAAAAAAAAGCTCAAATTTAAATAATGAGTATACTGAAATCATGAACCTCTTGAGAAGACACAGCATGTGTGGTGTTCATAAAAAATGAGGTACTTCCTTCCAGTTATGAGAAAACAGCAGACAAACTTGGGTTGAGGGGACAGTCCATAAAATAACCACTCTTGTCCAGTGTCAAGTCCATTGTCAAGTCCATGAACAAGAAAGACAAGCGCTGTTGTCACAAGCTGGCGAGTCCGCTCGGAGGTGAAGCACTCAGCAGCCGCCAATGGTTCCTGTGCACCAGCGGTTCGGAGCAGGATGAGGCAACGCTCCCACAGAGATGAACTCACAAACCTACTACCACTGAAGGCGGCCAGCGTCAGGTGTCACAGGCTCTCAATCTTAAAGGGAGAAGGCTGTCATCCTCTCACGGAGCCCCCAGCCTCTGGGTGATCAGTGCACGGATCACAAAACCAAAGCGCTACAGGCCTCGTAAAGATTTCCATCTCGGAAACTCCACATGGCCATGCCACTAGGGGATGTGTGAGTTGGAATCAACAGCAGTGGAGGGCTTGGGGGAGGAAAACACAGATCAGGAGGGACCATGAACAGAATAAAGGGACACGTTTGTGGGAAATGCAGGTAACAGGTAAGCTGTTAGCAATGCTAGGTCCGGGGTTCTCATCAGTGCACTGTGGCGAGTTGAGATGTTAGTACGGGGAAACTGGGCGACAGGAGCTTTGCACTTTAGCTGCAACCCTGTCTGGTGTGGCCGGTGAGCCCGACCCCTGTTCTGGCCCACGCGGAACTCAGGTCTGCTCCAGTCGGGGGTTTGGGCTGGCTTTGCTGCACTGCCCACTTAACACGGTCTCCTCTGCTCGGGGTGACCATGCCTGGGCCAGCTTCCACCTTCTCCTTGCCAGTGGCCTCCGGAGGAAGGACGATGCCAAACAGCCCACTGCACCCTGAGAAAGAAGACCTACACCCCATCACCTTCCCTTCCCAATCTCTTCTCGTTTTAGGTCAGCACTGTGGAGGGCCTAGGGTCCCCAGGACACCTGGCACCAGAACTCAGCAGGGCGGAGCGCCTGGGGTCCAGTACACCCGCGCCCCAGGACACAAGCCCAGTCCTGCAGGCTCAGAAGATGGAAATGCCACGCCCTCCTGAACTGGGCGCGTCTGGCTGCACTCGTCCCAGGACAGACGGTGTGCTCTCGGCGGTCTGCAGCGGCTTCCATGTTCTTCAGCATCGTAACCCAAACACAGCCATTCTCAGTCTTCTATATTTGGCTTTTACATGCAAATGAGATGACTGAAAAGACCATGGAGAGGCCAGGTGCAGCCGGTTTCTCAAGATGCTTCTAATACTTGGACACAGTCCTTTGCAGGAGATTCCTTTGATTTTAATCACTGGTGAATGATTACTAAAACCAGCGTACACACACCCACATCTACTGTCACGTGCTCAGCTGTTCTCTCCTGGGAGATGGGTACTGCAGACTCCCCAGTTCCGGGCCTCAACGGGGGAGCCGGATCGATCCTCGGCTGTTGGGCTCCAGCCCTTCTGAAAAGGGGCATCACTGTGGCATCACTGTACATTGACTGCCGTCCCAGCAGGAAGTGGGGCGGGTGCCACAGCCAGAAAACACCCCACCTCCTCCTGTCAGCTGGGGTGGGGGACGTGATCAGCAGTGTCAGCACCAAAATATCACGCAATGTTAACCCAAACGCCTATCTTTCCGCACCCCAAAGGCTGTGTGGATTGGGGTTAAGACGGCATCTACACTCCGCAGCTGGGAGGAATCGCGGTGACCAGCGCCCTGTCTTGCTGACCGGGTTCCCCGGTATCCCAAGAGCCTCACTCTACACAGAGCGAGGAGAGGTGCCGCTCCAGCACGCAGCCGGCTGACACTGTCTGCACCTCAGGCCTGCAAAAGAATGGCTTTGTTACTTACTTGAAATTCATTTTCTTTCTGAGCTTGTTCGGATCCCTCTTTGTTACAGGACTGCTACGAAGGAGAAAAGGCAAACAGCGAGTGAGATGGGGAACACCAAGGCAGGCACCAGCCATGCGGCCGGCACAACAGTCAGGGTTTACACACACATCCCAGACCTCTAGACAGCCCACTGACGGGACAGCAGCATCTAAGATTCGCCAGTCTCCAGCGCTGCCACGGACACCTTACCACAGCTTCATTTCTTTAGGAAAAAGGGATGCTGCATTGAGAACAATAGCTTCCAGTTCCAAAAGCCATCCCCACATGTGGGAACAATTTCATTTTTGGAGGAAAGTAAGTAAAACTCCACTCTTCAATAGGGCTTTCAAAACAATGATGGTCAAGCTGGCTTGCTCACTCACTGGGTACTGTGGGTCTTTCAAGTCAAGGCCACCCCCAGGAGGCTGTCTTCCTGCAGGAGCAGGGCAGGTGGACACATCTATGGAGAGCTGTGGTCAGCACAGGACTCGACCAGGGAGGTGGAGGGTTTATGGAGTATGCTGACATACCCTGGGCCAAACCAGCCCTCTGCAGACAGCCGCTTGATGAGTTTAGCCAGCCACTAGCTCCAGCTGAACGCCCTCTGCCAATCAGAGGGTTGCTGACTTGAACAACAATCCCTAAGCTCATTTTCTGTACTGAAATATAGTAAGGGATAACTTTGCATCACTTTCCTCAATGAAATTGCAAATTATTGGGAGCCAGAATTCTAGCAGTGACAACATAGGAGATCATTAATAACCACAAGAAATTCTTGGGCTATTTCCAAGACATTAACAGATCTTAAAAACTACCCCCCACCCCCCTCAAGGGCTTTAAGAACTTATCATTAAAGATAAGGGGAATGGGGAAAAGTAAATTGGGAAACTTCACGTTCCATTGTCAAAATTTTGTACTCAAATATTGCCTCTCAAATTAGGTGTTATTTATTACAATTACAAAGTCTGTTTAAGCCAGACACAAAATGAAGCCCACAGAGGAAGCCTCTTTAAAAAAAATTCTATGGTAATAAATGTGTGAACATCCCATTTAAAAAAAAACATACCTTTCCATTCCACAGCTTTATCAAAAATACCTGTGCCAAGGGTGAAAAGTGTGGACAAGGAAAAAAAATGCCACGTTAAGCAACACCAGCTACTCTGGCACCATTCAAACACCTAGTGCATTAAAGCAACCGCTCCCATCCACCACATTCTCGGACATAACACCCCACAGACGTTCTCAGTGTGTTCTGGAGAAACACATGTTCTATGCTGTTCAATTTAAAAGTAACAGAAAGAATTACCCATGTTCATGAAACTATCTTCAGAAAGCTATTAACGCTTGCATTTAAACACACTCAGTACCTTTATGACACAGCCAGGTGCATTTTGTACAGGTACAGAAGATACAAATGGGGAGAGAAGGCGTCTTCATTTGTGTATCTCGGTTTCTCTGATGATACAGGTTAAATCCCGTTACAAGGAAAGAGAACAATCAGAACGCGGTCAAGCTCACCGCGGCCCTTGCTGACTGACCAGCAGCCCCTGAGAACCGGCCGCAGGGAGAGCAATCCCTTGCCGTGAAGGCGTGCCTCCTCCCAGCTCCAAACCCACTCTCAGTCATCGAGACTCAGGTGTCCCTCGAGAACAGGGGGTGCCATCATTTACGTGTTGTTAAGACTTTCCCCAGGACACCATGCCACCACTGGTGCTGCAGACATGTGGACATGAAGCAGGAGTGGCATCTACTTCTAAAATAGCTTGCCTCCGGAAACTCTATGAACTTAAGAGAAACAATGAAAGTCATGCATGTTCAGGACTTTCACTCAGAGGGTCGCTATGAGTCATCTACTGACTCGGTGGCACTTAACAACAACAACATCAGGTAGAAGCACAAGGCCAGCAAGTTCAAGGACAACACAGGACAATGGAGGCAGTGAGCCTGGGGGCTTTCACATGTGCGATCCCAGCACTGGGGATACTGGCAGGGGTGCTCACGTCTCTCCCCAAAAGTATCATGTTTTTATGCTTTTATCCGCCCCCCAAAGGAAGGTTGAAATATTTTTTAAAGCTCTACAATCTAATATATATCAACATAGTAATACACTCTAAGAAAAGCTTTAAGACAAATAAGGAATTTGGACTGTCTACTGAAATTTGTGGTAACGGGATTTGACCTGTATAGTATCCTACACACTATGTTTATTCCTAGGCTTTTATTCCTCTAACTGTATCTTAGAGAGATACAGTTACCAGGTCTTTTAACAGAAGTCCTTTCCTTGTCTAATGGTGCTCTCCCAAACAGTCACTTCACCAAAGTTTCAATTTGGCTGCCTCTTTCAGCAGGTTAGAGGGTTAGTGGAAGTCAATTCCACGCAGTGTCTCCCCGCCCCGCCGCCCCCAACGCGGGCCTTGTTTCCCAGAGCACCATCGTGAAGGCAGGCTGGACTTCTGCCCCGCCCAGTCCTCGGTTCTGTTTCCTCAGTACAGAATGGGGGGGCTCCCTAGCGCCTGTCAGTGAGGGGACCAGGGCCAGGAAATCCTGGAGCAGGCGGACTTGGAGGAAGGGGAGGGCTGAGGTGAGCCATGGGGAGAGCGAAGCTGCACGCTCAGGAAGACAGGCCCGGAAAGCACGTTTTTGGAATCCATGGAATTTTACTGGGGGCAGGGGAGAAGCAGCACTGATGTACCTGGAACAGTCAAACAGAACATACCAATACTTGGTGTGAAGTTAAACTTTTCCCCCATTAACTTTGTGAAATAATGAAAGTGATTTTAAGGACCAAAATACAACTAAAAAGTGTGTCTGCTAACTTGAACTCTAATTAATGGACAGCTCTGAAGGCTTCCTGCGAAGAACTTGCACTGCCAGCCAAGGGCACGCGCTGCTCCAGAGCAGACAGGCGGCAGGCTCCTCCTGTGATTTCACTGCCTCCGAAAACCCGCTGGAGGGCCAATCATGAGATGATCCAACTCAGTGGACGTCAGCAACAACAACTGACATGAATGCAGCTCTGACCACTGGATACTGAGTACTGATCATGAACTTCTTGATGTGAACATTACTCGATCATGGTTGTGTTAACCATCTCATACAGGAACTGCAATATTTAGAAGGAAAATTATCCCAGGAATTTTCTTCAAAATCATCCCTGGGTGTCTGTCGGGTGAGGGGAAAACAGTTGAATGCAGCCAGGAAGAATGGTTACCTAGCCCCTCAGTTTACTTTTTTATATGCCTCAAGTTCCTAGAAGACATTTGTAAACACAGGTTCTAAGATTTTTTTTTTTAAAAAAAGAAGATTTTCCAAAATCCAAAGACAGGAGCATGTAGAAGCTACCTGTCCAAATAACCCGGAACACACTGAACTGTCCCAGTTAATGGGTGAATTGTTGAAAACGGATTTTATTTTTTTAATAAGACGACGTCCAGTGGCGAGTGGACGGCAGCTGCCGCTGGCGGCTCACCCCTCCTGCTCCCTATTTTCGGCTGGGCTTTCTAGAGCCTGTCAGAGGCACGCAGTCGGTGACAGAGGAAATAAGATGATGCAGGAGGTCAAAGGAAGGGGGGCAGGTGGGACAAAGGTTTGATTTAAAACTTTTAAACTTAGAATTTTCAAAGTTAGCTCAAAAAGATAATTTTGAAGTTTCTTTTTTCATTTTCCTAGAACTTTTAAATTAAAACTAAATTTCTAAAACTCTATTTAGCTACAAACAGAGAATTTTTCATTTTATTTTGCATACCTCTGTACTTAAAAACATGTTTAAAACTACCATTATTTGTAGAATAAATATATGTACTTATAGGTTTCAAATGTGAATTCCCTGACAAAATTACACACAAAGGATTGAGCACTTCAAATAATACTGCGTACAATACAAATTTTAGAATTTTGAATTAATGTTCCATTCTATGCTTTGAAAAGAGACCGTTTGTATAAGGCTGACATGGGTGAGCATCATAGAAGTGGCTAGATTCTTGCCTTAATAGTTCCAGGACTCAGAAATGTCCTACCTTAAGAATGCCCTACCTGAATTACTTGATGGTTTAAATTACCTAATGCAACAAGATAAGTTTATTTTTCTTTTTTTTTTTAATTATTTTATTGTGTGTGTGTGTGTGTGTGCGCGCGCGCGCGTGTACTGTCAAATCAGATCTGACTGGTACAGGAGGAGATTGTCCCTCCTTCCCCGGCAGAGCATCTGGTGGATTTGAACCGTGCGCCTCTGGGACTGTAGTTGCAGCTCCTTACCACTAGGCCACCAGAGCTCCCCTTTATTTTTCATTTTTAAATTTAGTTGAGCCATCAGGCACAAGACATCATTTGACCAGCTCTCAATAAAATTTTCTGTACTCCTGAAAGGGAGAACAGTTTTGTGATTAAACTGTATCAGTAAGGCCGTAGCATCTGTGAACTCAAAGAGGGATCGTTGGCTTTCCCAGAGTCTGGGTGTGTGTGCACGTGTGTACAAGGACACAGTCTACGGGCACGAATGAAGACTGTTTCCACACGCAGTTATCAGAGGTCAGGAGCCTGGTGGGGTAAGTGCTGGTTTATCCTAGAGGGTGGCCATGGGTCAGAAGTGACTTAACAGTACTGGGCTCTGGATTCAAAGGTCATAAAACCTTTGCAATGCCTGAAACATTTCTATTCCATGTATTTTTAAAGATACACGGCTGTGTGACCCGTTTGTGGGTCAGGCTGGGGAAAGTGAGGTGTCAGCTCCAAACTACAATTAAATGAAGTGCCATCGAAGAAATTATCACCAACTGTAGAGAATATTTTAATAATGAAACGGAAACTAGGCGAAATGTAATGGCAGTTGCACAAATAAACTGATGCTAATAAGAGCATCTGTAGATCCTTATACGGCCCCTGCTCTTCCCTCCACAATAAAGTGACTCTAAAGGTGCCTTTACGCAGGAATAAACTGGTTGTGAGCACTGGTGGCTTAATGGTAAGGAATCGTGCTAATAAAAAGATACGAGGTTCAAATCCACCAGCTCCTCTGCAGGATCCGCTAACTATAG